TAGCCTCGAGCACATTAAAGGCGCCGTTAGGATCGAAATGGTGGATAAGCTGTGTATTAGTCGATATGCGCGCGATTATAGGACTATCGCGAAGGCTATGTTCAGTGAGTGTTGTTATCTAACCGTTGAATACATGGCATTAAAATATAGGTTCAAAAGTATGTATTTATAACTAATTTGCATATTTCGCAGAGCATTCGGATGAGCACAAGTTGGTCACCAATTCCCATCTACCCGGCCTCCGGTCCCGACCGGTCAGCCCCAAAGAACTACTACTCGATTTGAATACAAACTCTACGCAAGGATTGCCAACTAATTCCACTGATGGCTACTTCCAGCTCCACGTGACCGAGATTTATGAGTTCCCCAACGAGACATACGTCGAGCGGCAGAGCTGTAATTCCGGACGAAATATACTGCAACTCAACGACAGCACCGTATGTTCGCTGCGATCACCGGACCTCCGGAAGGGACAGAGGCTTATCTTCTACTATATGGGACGTCCGGTCGAGAGTGAGGACGACTTTCTCAACAAGAAAATCATGCCTTTCACTCACTTCAAGTTCAACAATAACCACGACTACAATAAGTGAGTTATGAATGACACAAATATACAGAATATTCTACGTATGTGAAGGATTTTATGAATATTTTAAATGTTAATTATTATTATTATGAATAACCACTGATTGATACCATTGTATGGTTTAGTGACAACACCACAGGAGGCGTAAAGTTTGAGCTACCGATCTATCAGTACATTAGCTATAAGGAGGCCAAAGCGCCCCTCAATGCCACCTCTCTATTTGCCACTACATTCCGTCACTACACACAATATTATATTGTCCTCGAGATCTGCACCCATCATAAAGGGGTTCTTACGTGCAAACCAGTCGATCACATCAAGACTAAGACTCTGCCATCACGTAAGTCAACCATTTCCTACTAATCATCTTATACCTCAAAAATAGTGTTTTACTTGTTTTCGCTAAACTTTATGAAAACGAAAACAAATTTTATTTATCATTAGTGGAGCAGTAATTCAATACACTATTCCCATAACATTAGATGATTAACAGATGATATAAATATTAGATATTAAATGCATTAAAAACACTAAGACTAGGTTAATTAAGACTTATGTAAATACCTGTCAGTCACTGCAAAAATTAATTAAATTTTAATTTTGTTTTTTAGTGTGCAATATTTAGTTTTGATATTAATTACTGCTTATTATCTATTAATTGGTGTTTAATATATAGCGACCGCTGATTATATATACGATAACGCGATGTATGAGACGGTGAACGGCACTAACGCCACAATTAATTGGTCGGAACCGCTTGAACCTAACGGTGCCGTCATTTCATACGATATCCAATATTTTAAATCCACAGAATTTACAGATGTGAGACTATTGACACAAATTTGATTAAATAAATCATATTTATATTGTTTTTTACACCATTTTCTGAACTGTTATTTTGGGGGAACGGTATTAGAAAGCGAAAGCGGAATACGGCGACAAAATATGCCTGAATCAGTGGCAGTATTTGCTAAATAGTAACAGTTTTACAATGACTGGTCTGGACCCGGGCACCAACTACTCGTATAGAGTGCGGGCTAACTCTATACACGGTACGGGCAACTGGACTACAATTCACACATTCACTGTACCCGGAGAGAACTGGACTACAATTAACTACATTATAAATTTTGCTCGTTTCATAAAACATGGCATAATATAATAGTTGTTAAAAACATGAGAAATACATTATTATAATTATTATTAATTTTAGTTCCGATTATCTATTGTTTGGTCACAAAATAATGTCTCAATTTTTAAACTTGTTTATAATTGTAAAAATTATTTGAGAGAATATTGTGTCGGCTTTTAATCAACAAATATTTTTTGTTAAGAATAGTTTTCAATTTATTTACCTTTTCTTAAAACACACACTATTAGTAAAATCAGTTAATCCACTCTCAATAGTGTGGTATAAAACAATTTTTGGATAATTTTGGAGAATATTCTTGTAATTGTAAAGAGTTGTCCACAAAGTACTCGCACTGGAATTAATTTGTAAACTAGATCAAATAAAAATAATTTAAAAATATACTTTTTTCGTTTTGTAATGGTCTACCATTTCCCGAAGACACAGATATGTTACTGTAAAGGGCTGGTATGGGGACTGGTACCTGGTCTAGAGCAAAAACTATAAGTCCTAGAGGGAATTTAAGTACACCATTCGAAAGAGCGTTAAAAAATACGG